TTCCATTTCTCGGCATTAAGAAGAAACCGTATAAAGGTTACAATGGCCAGGAATAATCAAATGACAAAAACAATTCGTATAATTGTCGATGATAAGCAGTTTAACAGCCATCTTATTTCATGAATTTACATGTCTCCTTAAAAAGATTGTCTGTGGTTCAACAAACTTCTTAAAACAACTAAAAAACAAATGGTTCAATGACTAACTTTTCTGCATCTCTCTCCTTCTCACCCAATTAAAAACATAAACATTCACCGTTTAATTTACATATAACAGGGGATCACGGTGGCTAAATGGGTAAGATAATATCTATATACTAATATTTGTGACTGTCGTTTGTCTGTCTGTCTGTCTGTCTGTCTGTTCGAGGTTGGCGGCTACACTAGGTCTGCCCCGAGTCTGAAATTTGGGGTATAGGGGTAACTCGGACCGGGGAGTAACATAGGCCAGGTGACGTTAGTCTACCACTTCTGATTTCGGGGTTATGACCCCCGAGCGAAGCCGGGCATTCTTCTAGTTATACATAACACAACTATACCACTTTGAATTATAGCCGTTCATACTGTACTATATACGGATATAGATCGAACACGTCATACTTAAACTAATCAAAAACTGTAAAGCCTAGCTTATGTCGCTCTGCGACGCGATAAAACTGACGGCGACTAACAGCAACTGAAAGCTTATGTTGCTAGGACTGGATTTATCCATGAGTGGACGCAACCACGCGAGCATTCGGTTGATCATAGTCGTAAGCACGCTCATGTCGCCTGGCTTCAGTTGCAGAATCGGAGCCACAACTGGTCAAATGACTGCCAAGTGATAACCTTCAAGGTGGCCCCATTCCACTTGTCCACCATGTTTGTTACCATCCCCTGGGTATAGCGTGACTAAATAACTGAAACGTATTGGCTATCTCATCGAAGCGCCGACTCAAAGTAGTCGTATGTGCGCCCATGTCGCTTGCGACTAGGGACAACTATAGTTGTCTCCAGTCGTATGAGTAGAACATGTGCGACTCCGAGAAACTGGAGGCGACTGGTTGCCATCCGATTTACACCAGTCGTAAGAGCGTCCAGGTCGCTCCCTCATAGTCACAAATGATCAGTTCCACTTGATCGTAAACCAGTCGCCGGTTTCGAGTGGCCGTCATTTTTGTTGCGTCGTAGGGCAACATAAGCTAGACTTAACTTGCCTGCATCAACGATGCTTATGAATACGGTCAAACATAATAGATTGTGCTATGAAGGGGAATTTTGCCCTGACAGGGGCGCTACGACTTGCTCTTATTCCGATTTCTATTTCATGTTCACAGAGAATATTTAACGTCCTGCCACGGGTTTAAACGGGATCTCGGGTTTTCGTTCCAAAGCCTTAAAGATACATTATGGGAGATGAGATAACGAGTTGGCAGTTCTCATTATAATAGTTCAAAACTACATAATGTAAAGGCAATTTGCTGAAAATTTCAGTCAAGTTGATCCACTATGAAACGAATATCGCAGGCTAACCTTGACATCGAGAGCTGATTATGGTCTGGATAAGTTAATTAATGTCTAATTAATAGTTTTTATAACATTTCAGGCCTAAAGAAAGACCTAAAATAGGCAGATTTTGCTCTTGCATAATGTATGTTAAAATAAGCTGGTCGCTATTTACAAAGATAATGTGGAATAAGTATTGAGTGGAAGTTAAGCCCCATTACGTTTTGTTTAGATATCATCCCCCCCACCCGGTGTGATAGTTTGAGTTGACTCCTGGTGTGTGTTTTCTCCTGGGCACTTGCGCATGTCTGAAACTGATGTTTGCCTTAACAACGAAACTATGTCTACTTCCCGCGGTGCGAGTTGGTTCCTTGCAGTACAGGAAAAAGTATATCATGTACTTGATTAGAGTTTTGTCATTATTAAACATACTTGTTATCGTGATTAGCTGTTGTTTTAGTGATGAGTAGTTACACGATCAACGGATCTAAGTTGATTGGCTTGAAATTGATACTTCTATCGTTCGTGATTTGTTGCCGTTATTTTTTTTAGTGATTAGTCGTTCTACACACGTACGATCAGTGGAAACCATACAAATTGATGATTGGCTTGAAATTATCAATTAATTCACCTCCAAAGGAAGATTAAGGCCTTTGATATTTCGTGGTTTCATTTATCACAAATATAAAAGTATGGAATTTCTTATTCCGATTTCTTTAACATAAATATAGATTTATTATACCATCCCAAATACAAGAGAGAATGTTCGCATTGTGGACGGGTATATATACTAAATAATAATAATAAAGATCGCCAATTTGCATCCTCTCGTGGTGGTAATACTGTAAATATCGGTACATAATAGTCTATATATTGATTTGACCGTAAGAATATCTTAGGGGAAATCCTATCACGAGGAGTCAATGCACACCGCGACTGTAACGGTGTGAGTTGACTCCTACAACTGCGCAAGCGCCAAACGGTAATCACACACCAGGAACCATCTGAAACTGCCACACCGGAACAAAAAGGCGTGTTTGCTTGTTCGATATTCATGATGATGAACGACCAATTGAAAAAACATGGGATTTGATTGAGATTGAGACGTATGTTACTATAAATAACCCGTACATAAATATCCTTTATCACATAAAAATAAATAGAATACTGTCCGCTTTACACATCAGACGTTGACAGAAATAGACATACCATATCGTCAATCATCTACTTTCATTTCCCTTGTTAGAATCTATGATTTAAATCATGAATCCTAGACTAGTTTATTGTTTTTAGAGCACAGTCGTCTCGTTTCCCCAAAATTTATTACGTGTTTTATGCGTTAAGGATTGAACAATGATAGGAAATATGGAAGGAAAAGAAATCTCATCAGACAGATTTGGATGAGATCAGATATTTCGTAAGCTCCATTCCCTTTTTTTGTTGATAATCAGACAGATTGCGTAAGATATGGAAAGATTCGAAAATTTAGAAACCTACAAGCCTATTTTTGTTGATACAAAAGTTGTTGAAATTGGATAGCTTTAAGAACCTCGTCAGGTTTGATTACTCTTTTCTCTGGTTGGTTTTATTGCTTGATGTTACATATTTTCTACGCTTGGAAAATCTCGCTTTACCTTCTAATTGCCGATATAGATCAGATATTAGTCTGATGAAATGAAATTAAATGGGGTTTAACGCCTAACTTTTCTGATCCTGCTGGGCTAGGAAAGACCATACTCCCTGTAGTGTTTCGTTTGATTAGAGCTAATGGAAGCAAATTTCTGTTCCAAATTATGACTGGTCAATAGTCCGATTAATAACCAATAGCTAACTGCGTAACAATTTGATTACGCTTTGGACCAAATTGGACCAAATATGTTAACATAACGTTACATCATGGCTCACGATTTTATTATGCCCAACTAACCAGTGCATAGCAAAATATTGCAGAAAAACTGCCCAAAGTTTTAGGGAAGACCCCAGAATAAACGAAGGGCTGTCATTTTTCTGTACTTGGGATAGATTTGATTGAACGGGAAGAATAGACACACTACCTCAAAAGCTCAGGTATCAGAAGCCAATCCAGCAATGGCCAGAGAGGGATTTCTCTTGCCATTGCTTCAGGAATATCATGAAGACGGGTATACGCCATACAGTCATTTCGGACGGGACTAACATATGGTTCAATTTCGTTTAAATAATTTACTTGCGCGTAGGGGTCTTTAGCAGTGGGAGGAAACTGGAGGACCCGGGGACAGGAGTCGCTAGTCCTTGTCACGTACAAGCGGGAATCGAAACCACGCCACTTAAATTGGTTCAATGACAGAACTCACGTACGCGTTAACCATTCGCCCCCCTCCCCCACTCCCCCACTCCCCACACACACATCCCCCCCCCCCCCATCAAGGAAACATACCGAATCAAGCCCAGTAAAGAAGAATAGTCACAAGGAAAACATAATTTGAAGATAGCCAGTAGTCCTCCTACAGTAATCGAAACCGGGAAATCAATGACAGACTTTATGATACAACGCGTACGCGCTAACCATTCGGTCATCTCTCTCCCCCCCACCACCACCTTTTACGAGCAAACCATCGTGTACAGTCCAACAGCACTGACAAGCGTGTAGCACGCCGGATAATCCTGATGATCTATCTCGGTCCGCATTGGGATCGAAACAGGACCGCTTGGTTAGCGATCCAACATTCTTCTCACTGAGGCACAGTGGTTCCAAACGTGGCGGCTATTCGTTGGAAACGTTCGCTATCGCATGATCGTTCCAAATGAAAATTGCAGTTTCGACTCTCAAATATAGACTCTTGGATGGCGCCACCGTGGCTCCTCCAGGAACATCACCTTTGGTTGGAACCTATATGGTCATTCATTAATACTATCTTGGAAGGAGCCTAAAATATTGTCATTTATAATTAACTTCTACTAAGGAAATGGAAGCGATTAATCACTTACCGTCTCTGCGACCTATGCTAGACGAGCCTCTTGTCTGGCTCCCCAGGCAAGTCTCCCTGGAAAATCTTGTCTACGATATCGATATCATCCTAGGTGGACGCGGACGTTGCGCCCCATTGATTGGCGTTTACACCGTCCCCAATCCCCACCTATACTCCATATATGAAATACATCCATGAATAGCTGTCTGGTTGGGTTGGATACAGATAGAGAGAGAAATGGGGTTTAACGTCCACTCGACAAAACCTGGGTCATTTCGGGACTAACATATGGTTCAATTGTATTTCAATAATTCGCTCGTGCGTAGCGGTCTTTAGCAGTGGGAGGAAATTGGAGGACCAGGAGAAAACCCACGAGGTTGGACAGGCGATCCTACTCCCTGTCACGTACAACCAGGGAATCGAATGATTTGGATAAAAACACAAATACAAGTTGAAATAATTTCTTTAAAAAATTTATGTATTGAATTGCATGGCAATAAATAGTCATATATATCCAGACATATATATTTATATATACATATAGTAACAATACATTATTATGGTGCGTTTCAAATATTACGACGTACACACAGTAAACAATTGGAATTTAATTCATCCACGTGATCACAGAGAGACGGAGAAAGAGAAATGGAGTTTATTAACGTACTCTCGACACGTATTTCAGGACTGACATATGGTTGAATTTTATATTTTAATTTATTCACTGGTGACCAGTGGGCAGAAACCCGAGGACCTGAAGAAAAACCACTCCACGAGTTTGGTTAGGCGATCCTACTCCTTGTTACGAACAGGTGTGGTATCGAAACCAAGCCACAATGACAGACCCTTTGGAACCTTAAAATAGATGAAAAAGGGTATAACAACCCATATTAATGTAATATGAATGCACTAGAAGAATGCCCGGCTTCGCTCGGGTGTCATAACCCCGAAACCGGAAGTGGTAGACTAACGCCACCTGGCCTATGTTACTCCCCGGTCCGAGCTACCCCTATTCCCCAAATTTCAGACTCGGGGCAGACCTAGTGTAGCCACCAACCCCGAACAGACAGACAAACAGACAGACAAACGACAGTCACAAATATTAGTATAGATTTAAAGTGATTTATAACCAAGTTTTACAATGTATTTTCTAATGAATCATGTTCGGTGAATACGTGAACAGTTCAAATTAAATGACGGTCGTTTAGGCATTCTTGGTTTTTTAAAATATTATTTTGTCCGTTGTAAATTAGTCATTAGTAAACATTTCTGCATTTGCGTGTAGGGTGTGATTTCAAATGGTTCCCAGACCCACAGAGTAAACGATTCATGTACTTATTATAAAATGTCCATTACGTCTTAAATATATAGGGGGGTTGGGTGGCTGAATGGTTAGGACGTGCGAACTTCCCCGGTTGTACGTGACAAGGAGTAGGGTCGCCTGTCCAACCTCGTGGGTTTTCTCCGGGTCTTTCGGTTTCCTCCCACTGCTAAAGACCCTACGCGCAAGCGAATTATTGAAATAAATTGAACCATGTGTTAGTCCCGAAATGTCCTAGTTTGTGTCGAGTGGACAGTAAACCCCATCTCTCTCTCTCTCTCTCTCTCTCTATCTCTCTCTCTCTCTCCTTCTCTCCTTCTCTTGAATTTTTAATATTAGGATCCCATATTTTAATGGCACGTTTACAACATCAATATAGACTGAAGTGGATCAATATGGAATTTTAATTCGTGTTTTTAATGTCGAATATTATGGAAATTATTGAGTTAGAGGTTGAATAAACACATATTTCTAGAGTACAATTGAGTGTTTATTCATGCGATCCTCAGAACCCATTAAAATTAGAATAAAATTACAATTATTTGCTCGAATTATCAAGGATACATTTGTAATAAAATTATATTTGAGCGAGTGATCAAGAATACATTTGTAATAAAATTATATTTGAGCCAGTGATCAAGAATACATATGTATAATAAATTAAAGTTTGAGCGTGTTATCTAGAATTCAAATTTATTGGTTAGAAATGAAACAATTTGTAATTTATACAAACACGTCAGTAATTATACAAGAATTTAAAAATTGAGCAAAGTCAGAAACAAAATGACGACAAAAAAACCACGGATCCTATTATACAAATGGCAGGATGCTAAAAATCCGCTAAAAACATGTACTAGAAAAGCAAGCCGTAGTGAAATGAAATGAAATGGGGTTTAACGTCGTACTGTTCTGCTCTGACTGGGCTAATGAAGACTGACATACGCCATACAGTGTACTATCCGGGAAATTTTGCCCTGGCAGCGGCACTATGGTCTACTCTTCTATCAAGTTCCAACTGCCAAGGTATATTTTACGTGTACGCCAATGTATATACAGGACCTCGGACTTTCGTCCCATCTGAACGACTAGACAGCTGTCCTTGTCCGGTCCTCCGTCCTATACCACTGACAAGGGGAAACCACGCCGGAAAATCAAGATGAACTTTCTCGACCAATGCAGGGATCGAACAGCCGACCACCAGGCTAGCGAGCCAGTGTCTTACCCACTTAGCCACCGTGACTCCATAAGCAAGCCGTAAAGATGCTGTCAGGGCAATATTTCCTTCTAAGCAAGCTATAAAGCGTATGCCCGTATTCAATAGCACCATTAGTCATTAACCGAATTTATATTCTAGTTGTTTGAAGAAGTTTGTTGAACCAGAGAAAGTCGTTTCAAGGAGACATGTAAATTCATAAAATAAGATGGCTGTTAAAGTGATTATCATCGACAATTATACGAATTGTTTTTGTCATATGATTATTCCTGGCCATTGTAACCTTTATACGGTTTCTTCTTAATGCCGAGAAATGGAAAATCTAACAGTCGAAGCAGACAGGAAAATGTTATTGTAAGATTTTATCAAATTAAATAATTTCAAACTTCAACTTCAATTTGTTATTTAAATAAACACACGTCTGAATATCGAGTTAAATGCGTCATTAGTAAAAAAAGAAACGAAGGCAGATATTTGTACATATTTACATATGAAGCCAGAGAGAAAGAGAGAGAGAGAGAGAGAGAGAGAGTTTAACGTCCAGTCGACACTTGAACTAACAAATAATTAAATAATTTACTTTTTTATTTCAATAATTATCTTTTGCGTATGGGCCTTTAGCTGTAAGGGGGAACAGGAGGACCCAGAAAAGATCTTACTTTAGGATTAGGATTAGCTAACTTTGAGGATTATGCTATATTAGGATGAGCTAACTTTGGGTACTTCGATATATTATGAAGATCGAACTTTGGGTATTATGCTATATTAGGATGCTCTTACTTTGGGTACTATGCTGTATTAAGAGGATTGAATTTTATTCGTGTCGGTCACTCTGTCTCAGGGAGCGAGGAGGTCCCTGGATCGATCCTGCTGTTGACCTAGAAAGTTAAAGTGCCTATCAATTGGTGCGTGAGTAATTGAACGAAATCAGACCCTTGACAGGCCGCGTATATTTTCTTCCATAACACTACAATGCATGGCATTAAACCCCATTTCATTTCATTTGCTTCCGCCAATATTGTATAATTATTACGTTCAACAATAGAATATACCTAAAATAAACTGCCAGACAGACAATTGCTTCGTTGTCTTCTTAAGCTTAATTTAGAAACGTCATGATAAGACTACGTCATCAAATGGCTGTTATGGAGGTCACAATGTACTGGAGGCAGTTTATAATCATCAATAGTTCAACAAACTAATCCGCGCACCTGCTACAGTTATACTAGAATAGATCCTATTATAGATCTTTACTTTATATACCTATATAGGCTATTGGAAGAGATAGGATCACAAACTCTTATTGACGAATATTCCGATCTCCATTCTCTTAACAATAATAGCCTATGCGCTGTTGATTGTTGGTGATTTTGACGTCTACTGTTAACATAAATTGCCAGACAGACCCATCGTTTAACGTCCACCCGACACAAAGTAGGTAATTTCGGGACTTATACATGGTTCAATTTTATTTTAATAATTCGCTTGCGCGTAGGGGTCATTAGCAGTGAGAGAAAACCGGAGGAAACGGGGAAAACCCACGAGGTTGGAAAGGCGACCTTACTCCTTGTCACGTACGACCGGGGAATCGAAACCACACCAGTTGACTCAATGACAAACCTTATGATACAACGCACACGCGTTAACCATTGTGCCATCCAAACCCCACTTTAAATAAAGGCATGCAGATTGGGACATTGATCTCACACTTTCAAACATTGATATTAAACAAAATATGAATATGCACAAATTCTGATTACCCTTCTTCTTGAAAAAATACAAATAAAGCTTCTTATGAGTTTCGAGTGTCAGCCTCATTAAAATATATAGCTAATCTGGTTAAAATACAGATCTATATTTCGTTTCGTTTTTTATACTATTGATGGCCTACACTACATGAAGATCTGACCGGTTGTAGTGAAAGGTCGCGTCAGCTGATGTTTCTAGTGGTTTACCCACATAAGTTCCGTGCATCGCATGTCAAGATGTCGCCGTAACAGATCAAAACGCCGGTTATATAACAATTCTTCCAGATCCTAGTGTAGTAAAGACAAGGAAAACGAAATTTTGAACTATAAAAAACGAAACGAAATAGGATCTGCGTTTTAATAAGATTGAAATTTATTATACCGACATAAATTTATATTCTATATGCAGTCTACCTGGCATCAAAATAAAATCATATTTACGTATGTATAAAACTTTACAAAGCCAGAAAACAGCTAGTCAAAGTTGAACGTATATAAATCTGGAATGATGTGTTTAGAGTATCCGGTTGTGCCGGCGATTGTTAAACTTGCTATAGCCAAGAATCCGGCCGTGCGGACAATTTTTTCAATGGTTATAACGGAATATCCGGTTCGACAAACAATTGCACGTGCTATAATAAAGCACACGGTGTTAAATTTACAATAACTGTACTCAGTCGTATAGGAAGTGGATAAACGAGAGTAAACGTCCTATAATAAAGCCTCTGGCCGTGTAGGAAATTGATAAACTTCTAATAAGGAAGTGTTTTCCGTGTAGGAAATTGATAAACTTCCAATTATAAAGTGTTTGTCGGTGTAGGCAATAGCTGAATTTGCTATAACGAAATGTCTGGTAGTGTAGACAATTGTTAAACTTACTACACAAATTATCCGATGTAAGCAACTGTTAAAATTGCTATAACGAAGTATCCGTTGGTGTAGGAGATTTTAAAACTTGCAATAACGAAGTGTTTGTCGGTGCAGGTAATTTCTGAATTTGCTATAACGAATTGTCCGGTTGTGTAGACAATTGGTAAATTTACTACACAAATTATCCGATTTAAGCAACTATTAAACTATAGCTGTAACGAAGTATCCGTTGATGTAGGACATTTTTAAACTTGCTATAACGAAGTATCCGTTTGTGTAGGAGATTTTAAAACTTGCTATAACGAAGTACCGGTGATCTAGGCAATTTTTAAACTTATATAAGCAATATATCCAGCGGTAAACGTGCTTTAACAAAGTATCCGGTCGTGTTGGAAACTGATAAACTTGATATAACGAAGTTTGCGATGGTGTAGGTATGGTGGTGATCTTGCCATAACAACACTTCGCTACAATGATTCAGAAAACACGAATCACAACCTGTCATAAACAACCATTTTGGTAACAATGAAACCTCCGATAAAAGTCCGCCAGTTGAAGTGGCCGATAAAAGTCCGCCAGTTAAAGTGGCTGATAAAAGTCCGCCAGATGAAGTGGCTGGTCCCGATCGTACATTCGTTTAAGACAATATGTAATTGTTCACCACAAGTTAAAATGCTTAACATTTAATTAAGAAAACAAAACAAGAACATCTCACGGTACATAAACTGCACATAATATTTCTTAAGTCCGCTACCAAACCCAAATATCCCACAATATTCCCTAAGTCCGCTACTGTCTACTGATGCCAAATGTTGCAAAAGTTTCGATTCATATCTTAATAACATTCAGTTTTCACAATATTTTAGTTTCAAATGACGACCCCGGCGGCTTTGCTCCTTTTGGATTTAAACAACTCTAAAGTCTTCGACCACTGAATATGCCGATGTAGACAATGAAGATTGACGTCCTACTGTTCTGCTGTGTCCTTGAATATGAGGATGGACATACGCCATGTAGTGTGCTGTAGGAGACATTGTGCACGGACAGCAAGTGAATTCCCGCTCTCAATGATTCTTAGTCTCGGTCGTCACGGCGTACACTGGATCTCGGTTGGTTCGTCGACGTCCCAACGTTTAGACGCCATTCCTTTCTGGCGGATTTCTCTCGGCAACCCGGGAACTCCAATGTTGCGAGTCAGCACCTTATTCACCGCGGATCCCCGAAACTGTAAATGCTTCGCCCACAGACTAAGCTGGTGTAGAGAAAATGGTAACCGTCGATGGGCCAAAACCGACATCGAACACGGGACCTCCAGTTTAGCGAAGCGACGTCTTGCTCATCCGAGACACCTTGGCTCCCTTCCGGCGTGGAGAAAATCTCGATGTGAGCCCCAGTTATAATGTCCATGTCTTAGGTAACCGTCAAACCTCCGATAACAAACCATCACCACAAATGCTCTTCCGGTGTCCGAGCTTAACGTGAATGGATGCCTTCGGGCGTCCCACTAACGACAGTCGTCTTATTTGAGATTCTTCAAAATGTATATTAATCCTATAACAGGGTTTGCAGAATAAATTCACAAAATTTCGCCAGAAAATCGTGTTAAATATACAATAGATTATAAAATTAGAGGCCGAGTTCACTAATAGAAGTAAATCAGTTATTTCTCGAATTCCACGTTGCAGAAAGTCTTCTTCGTAATATCCTAGGCCTAAAAACGTCGACATGATGGCGTCGGGCGTTATACAGATTAAAAACACTAGTATCACAATGATAAGCATAAAGGTTATACGATGTCTACGTGAAGTCTTCGATCGTCCGACTCGGCACCTGCGTATACCGTATATAATGCACGTGTTCAGTATGATCAACAAACAAAGGGGGATAATCGAGCGAAGAAAGTTTTGAATCCATGTATATATCTTGGAAAATGATTCGTTGCTCCACAGTTCCGTGACTCTTAAGTCATATGTTTTGTAATGGGTAGAGTTACTAGAATTTTCTATGGTTTTATATCGCATAGCGTACGGAATGGCTAAAATACTCATCAATATAAACACTGTCATGGAAACCGTTCTAGCGTGACGTATTGTACAATATACTTTCACTCTTGTCGGATGACACACGTAAATGTATCTCTCGATAGCTACAGACACAGTTAACCATGCCGATATACACAGCGAAGCATTAAATATATAGTGTGCGTAGGGATACAGGAAGCCGTAAGCCTTGTTACCAGTCGGCGGGTCTATTTCTAGTAATAATATCACCATAAAGTACACAAAATCACTGATGAGTTTCACACAATCTGATATAGCTAACGACATCAGGTACACATTAGTTGATGACGTCATTTGTTTTTGTGACATCACTATGATACTTAGGGAATTTCCCACCAATCCGATCAGACATATTATGGGATAGACGACTACTCCAGTGATGAATCTGGCCTGCAGATAAAACTGCTCATATTGGTTTGAGTCGAGGACCCCAGCGCTGACAGCACTTCCGTTAGCTGCTAGCGCCATATCCGGTTGTCTGTAGGAAACATTGGCAGCCAACTTTAACATTCAGTCGCGTGAAAGGATTCTGAAAAATACAAAATACGAAATTAGTAGATGGTGGCGATGTTTAAACTTAAAAATGGTAAAGAAAACAAAGACCCCATACATCCTGATTTAGGAAACCCTTTGTGCATACATTGGCAGCCAACTTTAACATTCAGTCGCGTGAAAGGATTCTGAAAAATACAAAATACGAAATTAGTAGATGGTGGCGATGTTTAAACTTAAAAATGGTAAAGAAAACAAAGACCCCATACATCCTGATTTAGGAAACTCTTTGTGCAGTACGCGTCTGCCCGCACCCCCGGATAAACCCCTCCGTTACATTTAGATATCAGAATCCAGAGAATGTGGTGCACGAGGCAGTTAATGATTATTGTGACAATCAAAAGTTGTCAATCTGATTAAAACACAGATCCTATTACGTTTCGTTTTTTTTATAGTTCAACTTTTACTTGTCTTCACTACACTAGGGTCGATCTGGAAGAGTTGTTATATAACAAGCGTTCTAGTTGATTTGAGAAATTAGCCAATGAAACGGTCTGTTACGGCGAGTTCTTGGCGTGCTCTGTACAGAACTGTGGGTAAACACAGAGACGTCAACGCTGATTAATTAATCAATGTCTGACGTCAGAGACTCAAAAGCCGGTCGTATGACCCCTGACGCGACCTCCCAGGACAACTGGTCAGATCTTCATGTAGTGTAGGCCATCGAAAGTATAAAATAAACGAAACGAAATATAGATCTGTATTTTAATCAGAATGAGAAGTTGATGGACACGAAACAAACGTTCGGGGGGTGGGGGTGGGGGGTGCCGAGTGGTTAGCACGTGTGCGCTGTATCATACGGTCTGTCACTGAGTCAACTGGCGGGGTTTCGTGACAAGGAGTAGGGTCGCCTGTCCAGCCTCGTGAGGTTTCTCCGGGTCCTCCGGTTTCCTCTCACTGCTAAAGACCCCTACGCGCAAGCGAATTATTGAAATAAAAAAATTGAAATATATGTTAGTCCCGAAATGACCTAGTTTGTGTCGAGTGGACGTTAAACACCATCTCTTTCGCTCTGGTAATACGTTGAGAACTGAATGTGTTCTAGACCTGGAGGCAGTTTATTATATTATCATGTTCTCAGAGATGTGTTACATAATGAACATGCCGAGCTGTAAAAGTACCTGATTGCAAATACACTATATATGATGTTTTCATCGACAACATCTCTTCAGGGACAATTATGGCTGTTCATGATTGGCCAAACTCTAAAACAAAATGGCCACACACAACAGGAAGTATAATTTGTGAGTCTAATTTAGATGGCTATTGTTAAAATGATGACACACAGAGTGCAGCTTATTATCGTGTTTCCTGGAATAAAATGGATGGGGTTTGATATCACGTAATCGTAATACGTCTCGAAACAGCCATTTTTAGTTCTGTGGTTACAAATGAAATGAAATAGGGTTTAACGTTCTACTGTTCTGCTCCTACTGGGCTAATGAAGACGGGCATACGCCATACAGTGTGCTATGAGGGAAATTTAGCTCATACAGCGCTATGGCCTACTCTTATAGAATTCTTTTACGTGCACGCCAATGTGTACACGAGACCTCGGTTTTTCGTCCCATCTGAAGAACTGAGGTGGAATCATGATTTATTAATGACGGAAGTCGTACACGAAGCAGGGCATTCTTATTCTATGTAAAACAAGACCCCTATTCAAACAACAAACCGCAATCCGCAGGTACATGAAAAACACCTATAATTAGTGACGGGATTCGTACACGAAGCACGGTATGCGTATTCTATGTAGACCCACCTACTGCCCGCCCACAAACACACAACCTGCAGACACATAAATTACACTGTAATTAGCGTATACCTGTAATTAGTGACGGGATTCGTACGCGAGGTATGGTATTCGTATTCTTTGTAGCCCGCCCCCCTCCCGCCCAAAAACGCACAATCTGCAGACACGTAGACCCCCCCCCCCCCAACCCCCCTCCCGCCCAAAATTCCACATGACCCGAAGGCACATAAGTTACATCTATAATTAGTGACGGGATCGTACACGAGGTAGGGCATTCTTATTCTTTGTAGACCGCCACCCCCCGCCCACAAACACATAACCTGCAGACACATAAATTACACCTGTTATTAGCGTATACCTGTAATTAGTGACGGGATTCGTACGCGAGGTAGGGTATTCGTATTCTTTGTAGCCCCCCCCCCCCCCGCCCACAATCTGCAGACACGTAGACCCCCCAACCCCTCCCCCCCCCCCCAAAAAAAACCCATACGACCCGAAGGCACATAAGTTACACCTATAATTAGTGACGGGATTCGTACACGAGGTAGGGCACTCTTATTCTTTGTAGACCCCCCCCCCCCCGCCCACAAACATATAACCTGCCGGTTCATAAATTACACCTGTAATTAGCGATTCATACACGAGATAGGGTATTCTTACACACACACACACCCATCCTCTACAATCACACGACCTGAAGGCACATAAATTCCACATTCTATTATTATATAAATTAACCGTGATGGTTCTTTTGTCCATTAACTAGCCAGATTGTACATTTATCCGGGCTTAGTTAATGTCAAGTGGATTTATTGGCTAGACACATTCCTTGTTCAACAACATGTGCTACAGTGCTAAAACCTTCTTCAGACTATCCAATCTAGTACGTACATCGCTCTTAAAGGGATTATACCTTCAGTCAATTTCCTGATAGTTCAGCCTTTTATTTATTGAACAAGGATTTATTTGTAAGAAATGACAAGAGAACGTCATGTGTTAGTAGTATTTAGTAATTGATCGCCTTAAACTCGTCTTGATAAGCACAAAAGCGTTATCTTTTCTTCTCTTTCTTTTCTTAATGCACGATGTAAACAAAGCGTAGGTTTCACGCCCCACTGCTCTGTTCCTACTCGGTTAATGAAGACAGAATATTCAAAAACTTATTATTAACCTAACTAAAACACCCGAAGTAATTTATTTTTCTTTATTTCTATCGTTTTCTCCTTTTCTGTGGTTCAGGTTTGGCCAGAGGAAACGTCTGGGCGTTCAGATAGGACGAAAACTCGAATTTCAAAGACGTACACGTCAAAGACATCCCGGCAGAGCAACTAACATATGGTTTAATTTTATTTCAATAATTCGCTTGCGCGTAGTGGTCTTCAGCAGTAGGAGGAAACCGGAGGACCCGGAGAAAACCCTAGAGGTTGGAAGGCGACCCCACCCCTTGTCACGTACAACCAGGGAATCGAAACCACGCCAGTTGTCTCACTGACAGACCGTATGATACATATATTAGTCCCGAAATGACGTAGTTTGGGAGCCACGGTGGGTAGTTGCTTAAGACGCTGGCTCGCTAGCCTGGAGGTCAGGTGTTCGATCCCAGCATTGGCCGAGAAAGGGAGCCACGGTGGCTAGGTGGTTAAGACGCTGGCTCGCTAGCCTGGAGGTCGGATGTTCGATCCCTGCATTGGCCGAGAAAGTTCATCGGGATTTTCCGACGTGGTTCCCCCTTGTCAATGGTGCAGAACGGAGGGCCTGACAAGGACAGCTGTCTAGTCCTTCGGATGAGACGAAAAACCGAGGTCCCGTGTATATATTGGAATACACGTAAAAGATTTCATTTCATTTCATAACGTAGTTTGTGTCGTCTCACCCCTCTCTCTCTCTCTCTCACACACACACACATACACTAACCTTCCTGACATTTGTAAAACAAACAAAAGTATAGAGCCAATATAAATTGCAATTCCTGTTAAACACGCTCTCAATAACCCGATTACAGTGCTGTATTATAGAAACCAAAACCATCTTCAGACTCCATTTATATCAGTAAAACATGCGATAATAATCCAGTTCACTCAGACGTTCTATAAACCTCTATAACTTACATTAATCATTTATAGAAATAACAAGAAAGTGTTGAAAGTGTTTGGATTCAAGACGCGAAAATCATTTAACTAAATAACATACAGTTCTTTTAATGTCTCCATAAGACCAGTTCTATCAATTACATATGGGTTATTTTAATTATATATACCCCCTCTCCCCAGACATGTCTTATAAAGTTAGAATAACATAACCGCTATCAAGTTTAGAATGACCCTCTAGCCGCCGTATCTTTACATCTCGCCACTCTAGACTAGATTAAATATAAGGTTACGTTAAATACTGCACTGTTACATCTCGCCACTCTAGACTAGAATATAAGGTTATATCTCGCCACACTAGACTAGATTAAATATAGCCTACGTTAAATATTGTACTGTTACATCTCGCCACTCTAGACTGGAATATAAGGTTACGTTAAATACTGCACTGTTACATCTCCCTACTCTAGAATAGAAGGTTACATCTCGCCACTCTAGACTAGATTAAATATAGCCTAAGGTTACATTAAATATTGTACTGTTACATCTCGCCACTCTAGACTAGAGTGAATATAAGGTTACATCTCGCCACTCTAGACTACAATATAAGGTTACATTAAATATTGTACTGTTACATCTCGCCACTCTCGACTAGAGTGAATATAAGGTTACATCTCGCCACTCTGGACTAAGATTACGTTAAATATTGTACTGTTACATCTCGCCACTCTAGAATAGACTGAATATAAGGTTACATCTCGCCACTCTAGACTAGAATATAAGGTTACATTAAATATTGTACTGTTACATCTCGCCACTCTAGACTAGACTGAACATAAGGTTACATTAAATATTGTACTGTTACATCTCGCCACTCTAGACTAGAGTGAATATAAGGTTACATCTCGCCACTCTAGACTAGAATATAAGGTTACATTAAATATTGTACTGTTACATCTCGCCACTCTCGACTAGAGTGAATATAAGGTTACATCTCGCCACTCTGGACTAAGATTACGTTAAATATTGTACTGTTACATCTCGCCACTCTAGAATAGACTGAATATAAGGTTACATCTCGCCACTCTAGACTAGAATATAAGGTTACATTAAATATTGTACTGTTACAT